AGAAGGGGGAAAGAGGGGGGGGCGAGAATGGAGAGGGGGAAGGAACAGCAGCTGGAGACAGCTGGGAGGAGGAGGAGGAGGAGGAGGAGGAGGAGGAGGAGGAGGAGAAGGAGGAGGTTGAGGTTGAGGTTGAGGTTCAGGAGGAGAAGAGGTGGAGGGGAAGAGGAGGATGGTGAAGAGGGGAGGGGGGGGAGGAGGAGAGGAGGGAGGGAGGGAAGAGGGGGGAGGGAGGAGGAGGAGGAGGAGGCAGGAGGGGGGAAGGAGGGGGCGGGAGCCCGAGGCGGCAGGGCTGGAGGAACAGGAGGCCGAGTTGGAGAGGTGCCCTCTTCCGCGGCTCCCCGCCCCGTCAAGCCGCCGCCCAAGTGGCACGGGCCGAGGCCCTGGCCGAGGCGAGGGCTGCCCAGGCGCCTCGGGGCTGTCCAAGAGAGGGGGGCGTGGACCGGGGACGTGCGGCCGTCGTGGCCGGGGCCACGACGCAGGGGCAACGCTGCAGTCAAGCCGCACGGTAAGGATGGGCAGCCTCCCCAGGGGTGCCCCTGCATCCTTGTCTCGTCGGTCCATCCCCGGCCACTCTCGTCGGCCGCACCCCTGCTCGAGGAGCTTCGAAAGAGGCGTCCCAGGCCGTTGCGTCCTTCTCGCGCGTCCTTCCGAGGTGGGCCGGCTGTAGACGTAAGAGTAACCTTTCGTCGGTGTGACGTTTGGTGCGGGCCCAACGGGGTCCTCCGATCGCCGAGCGCGATGCCGTAGAAGCGTCTTGCGCGCTCGTGTTTGGTCCCCCCGCGGCCCCCAAGAAAGCCGCGCACCAAAGGTCACACTACCCAGGGTCACTCTTGCGTGTAGCCGACGCAGGGGCAACGCTGGGGGGGGGGATCGTCTCCGGGGGCGATGCATAGACCCCCAATCGCCCATGGATCGCCGATGGAGGACTGAGGACTCCACCCCGCCCGCGAGCGTGGGGGCCGACCATAGAGGGCCCGTGGCCGATGTTTCGGCGGTGTGGCGCCGATTTCAGGTCGATGCTTCCCCTCCTGAGCCAGCTCCCCAATTGGGGCGTTCCGAAAGGGGACCTGGCTTCGAGGATCGAAGGAGCTGTCATCTCTTCTTCGGCGGAGGGAGGCGGGAGGGCGGCGGAAGGTCGGCGGAAGTAAAACTGGGCCGTCTCCGCCGGCGGAAGCCGGCGGAAGCTCTGCGGAAGGCTGCGGAAGTAAAACATGCGCCCCCAAGAATTGGAAACGTTTTTGGGTTCAGGTTTTTTCGGAATCGGACATCTGTCGTGGACCCTCGATGACACGGTCGGGAACTTTTACCCAGCGTGTCGTGGCAGTGCTTCCGGCCCACCACGCTTCGGCGCGGTACGCTCACCACGTCCCAGTCCCCGAGCGTCCACGTCTCGAGCCTTTCGAGCCTCCCGCCCCGCGGAGCGGAGCGACACGCTATCCTCTCACAGTCCATAGCGTGTCGCCGGGCCCCCCGCCGCGACACGCTAACACAAAGTTCTTGGCCGTATCTCACAGATTTTGTGGCCCGCTCTTCTTTTCTTTTTCTTTACTCTTCTTTTTCATCTTTCACCACATTCTCTTGCCCCCCCTCGTTTGCACACGTTCCTCGGGCCGCTTTCTGCCATTGCCCCTCTTGGACGCCCCCCTCTTGGACGCCCCTGGAGGTCGCGGTGGAGGCGGACGAGGTCACGAGGAGGGGCCGACCGAAAGCCCGGATGGTGGGTGCGGCCCAGGGGAGGGCTCAGGGCCAGGGGTGGCCCTCGACCTCCACCTCGATGCCCTCCGCCCGCCTCCTCCTGGTGGATTTCGGACGTTTTCGTCGGTTCGAAGAGCGAGCGCTCCGTGGGGGGCCCGAGTCTTCAAACAGCATGTCTTCTTCTCTGGTCTTCCACCTCCTTCCTTCCGAGCCTTCTGCGTTGCAGGCGTACGTAGCTGTCGCCGCACCCGCCGACTGGAATATGCGGGGGGCTGAGGTCGCGGGGGGAGGGCAACCGTGGACATCTCGAGGTCGTGGAAAATCACAACGGCACCCACGCCTCCCCTCTTCTCATTATCATTCCTCTTTCATCTACCTCCTCCTCGTCCACTTCCTCGCCCGCCTCCTCCTTTTTTTTTTTTTTTTTTTTTTTTTTTTCTCTCTCTCTCTCTCTCTCTCTCTCATCAGCAGCATCATCATCATTATCATCATCATGATGATCATCATCATCATCATCATCATCAGCAGCAGCAGCAGCATCAGCATCAGCATCATCAGCATCATCAGTTTCAGCAGCAGCATTATCATCATTGTGCTGCTGCTACCTCCCCTCACTATTCACATTATTCTTCATGGATGTCCTCATCCCCCTCCTCGCCGTCCTCCCGTCTTGCTTATCTCACTTTTCCATACCCGCCCTCCCGCCAGTGGGGATATGCATTGTCGCATGCAAGCGCACGCACCACGCCAGCGCGCCGCGGGGAACAGGCCGAAGGCGAACGCTGTGAGCTCTTGTCTCGACGCCAGCAAGGATGGCAGCAGCCATAAACAGCACGCGGTGCGTACGGGCAGAACGTTCCGGGCGCGTGACCCAGAGCATGGCCTTCGGCATGCGGGGTTGTTGGCGCGAAGGCCTGGCGTCGCCCATGCTTTCTCCAGCAGCGCTTCCTCCTCCAGCTCCGCCCAGGTGAAGAACATGAGTTGCCCATACCTTCCAGGAGTGTTTGTGATTGTCGTTGGGAGAATGAGTGGGGAGCTCCAGACAAGAGCTCGCCTACGAGGGATTGGAGAGGCCAACTCCTCTCCCTCTCGGCGGAAGGTGGCGGAAGGCCGGCGGAGGACAGCGGAAGCACAAAGGTGTCCCTCGAGAGGTGTAATGTGGGCTCCAGCCTCCCAGAGCGGGCCACGTGGGCCCTGGCCCCCCCTCTTCCCGGGGACTGGCCGGGGCTCTAGGGACGGGGGGCAATGCCAACGGGGGTCAGCCAGAGCGCCGGACCGTGCAGGATCCTGCAGGGCCAGGTCGCACGGACCCCGGGCTTCTGCATGGCCTCCCTGGCCCGGGTCTGGGCTGACCCTGGTCAGACAATCCTCGAGCTGGTTTCTCCCGCCCGGGGTGGTCCTGTGCTGGCCAGGGGGGGGGGGAGCCCGAACACAGGGCGCGCAGGGGGCCGCCGCCGGCGGCAGCACGGAAGAGGCGCCCCTGGAGTTGAGCGTTCGCGCTCGCGCGGTGCTGCTGCTGCTGCTGCTGCTGCTGCTGCTGCTGCTGCTGCTGCTGCTGCTGCTGCTGCGCCGCGGCAGGAGACGCCTCGTGCCCCCTGTGGGCCAATGGTGTGATGGGCCTGTTTTCCACCACCACCTCCATGAGTTGGAGGGGGGAAGGAGGAGGACGACGAGGAGGAGGAGGCCGACGAGGAGGAGGAGGAGGAGGAGGAGGAGGAGGAGGAGGACGACGACGACGACGAAGAGGAGGAGGAGGAGGAGGAGGGAGGAGGAGGAGGAGGAGAAGGACCCCCCCACCCTCCAACTTCTGGCGGTGGTGGTGGAAAGCAGGCCCATCAGGGTGGGTGGCGTGCCGCTGGTTCGACAAACGCCATGAACCTTCTGAGTCGAAGAAGAAAGAACTGCATGCGCACAAATGTTCGGAGCGCCGCGCGGAACTCTGGGAAGGTTAACTATGATGATGCAGCGCTTTTGTTCCTCTACTACCGTGTGTTAGTCCTGGGGTGAGTGCCGTTGGCGTGACAAGCACCAGCAAGCGCTTGGGTTGCAGCACCCACGTGCGCCTCCTCCTCCTCCTCCTCCTCCTCCTCCTCCTCCTTCTCGTCCTCCTCCTTCTCCCCCTGCTCCTCCAGGCCCTCTCTTCATCCTCGTTCCCCCTCCCCGTCTCAGACCTTCGCTGCCCAGAACAGGTCACGACGACCAGTCTGTCCTAACCTCGGCCTCCAGAGGCGAGTCTCGCCCCGGGACCTCCGGAAGACGTCCCGCGACGAAAAGCCCGTGCAGGGGGCGGTGTCCAGGGGCCCCAAGGCCCAGGTCGTCGAACAAGCCATGCGGTCGGATGTCTGGGTCGGTCTTCCTCCTGCACGCCGGCCACTTCGCCTCTCGGAGGCCCCAGATAACCACACGCTGGAGCGGGCTGCCGCTGCCTCGCCGCCGACGAAGAAAGTATGGGTCGGTGCGGTTCTCCTGTTCGTCGTTATCCTCCCCCGTCACCCCCCCCCTTCCCTCCTCCCCCGCGCCTCCACAGTCGGCGGAGGGGGGGCAGGGCGATCGGGGCGGCCTTCCGAAAGGGCCGCGCCGCTTCTTGTCGGGCGGCGTGCGGCGTGCGCTGCTCCAGGGGCCTTGTCCCGAGAAGCCCCCCCCTGCCTCCTTCAGACGCACACCCTCCACCGCCCTCTCTGTCCCTGGGCAAGCCGCGGGGACAAAGCTCGTAGCGTACGCCTCCGCCACCCTGCCCTTCTGCGGAGACTGGCACTCTATACATGACCCGGTCGCAGGCTGCTTTTCGATCCCCGGGCTGCCTTCGGGGGCGACGTCGGGGTGGCGTGGTGTATGCTTGTGGTTTCCGTTTTTACCGAGGAAGCATCGACAATTGTAGACGTCAGGATCCCGTATATGCACCAGGATCCACGTCCCGGTGCAAACTTGTCAGTGCAGGGCCAGAGTACACGTCGGTGTACGGAGTTCGGTTCCCCACCTGTCCTGCTCGCCGCCAGCACCTTGGGCAACGTCCACGGGCCAGCCGCGGGCCGGCCAGGAGTGGTGAGGCGAGCAGCTGCCTTGGCATCGCTCGGACGTGTGCATGCTGCATGATTTCTCGGCGAGGCCCATCGAGAAGCATCCTGGAGCATCTCGCAAAAACCAGAAAACACGCACGGAACCGACAAAAATCCACGGGGAGTGGACGTCTGAGCGATGGCAAGCTGGCGTCCCCCGAAGCTCTGGCCTGGAGCCCTCCCCGTGTCGGCAGCACTTCCGGGCTCGCTGTCGGCTTGAGAGGCAGGCCGAGGCGGAGGCCAGCATGAGCCGCCTGAGCGCGGCGCTCGTGAAGATTGAGGCCATCCCGCTGCGCTGCCGCGCGAGTCCGCCGCCGCGCTCGGGAAGGCAGCAACACCGCGGCGTGCTGCGGCCTTGACGTTGCACGGCCTCCGCGGTGCCTCCTTGGGGGGCTGCTGGGGTCGTCTGTTCGGTCCTTTGGGCCGTCGAGGGGTCATGGGATTTCTTTGGCTTCTTTTGGGGGGGGCGGGGGTTGATTGGGAGGGCCTTGGTTGGGTCCGTTCTAGGTTGGGCGGTGCTGCGGGTTGCCTTGGGGTTGTTTTCGGGATGTCTTGGGCGGCCACCTGAAGCTGCGAGGCGCCATCTTTGGCAACCCCCATGCCGTCCTGGGGGCTGGGCCGGGAGCCACCTCGAGCCTTCCGGGTGACAAGACAACAGCATCGCGAACGCTTGAGTCTCATGCCAAGCGGTCCAGCGGGATCCTGCAGACCACCTTGGCGCGCCGGAGGGGTCTTACTGACGTGCTGCTGGGCCGTCCTGGGGCGTTTGTCGAGAGTGGGGGCGGGGAGCGGTCACGGGGCCGTCTTGGCGGGTCTGGGGGTCGTCCCGATGCGACAGAAAGGCCGTCCGAAACTCGTCGGGTGCCATCGCCGGGCCATGTCTGGATGGCCACGTGGGCCTCCTGGGGCTGAAGCATCGGCGCTCTGGCCGCCGCCTCGGTCAAGAGATCAGAGCGGTCACGGGTCAAGCGCGCTGAGATGCAGTGCCACACATGATTAGCTGATGGGTCCCATGGACTGCGTCGCAAGAAGTGGAACGTGACGTTAACATCGTTCGTCATGAAAGAACCAGACAATCCAGGCCGTGTTCTTCACATGGATGGGGCTCATGGGCAATCGTTTGACTCAACGAACAGCTGCATTACTGGTGCACCCGCATGGGCACCAGCCAGAAAATGTCAACAGCCAGGAGCAAGTAGGGGCGGAGTCCGCTCAGCGAGTGCCAGAGATAGCCTGGGGCCAGTGGCAGCTCCAGGCAGGACCCCATGCACAACTACTGGGGAAGCCCAACAGTCTGAAGGGCAACTGCGAGCGGGACGGGTGGGCAACCACCAGAGAAAACCCAGCGGTGCAGGGCAGGTCCCGATAGGATCCCCTACGGGCGAGATCCTGACAGCAAGTGGCCGAGAAACCCAGTGATCAGGGGCAACTTTTGGCGGGGCCCTGTGGGCAACTGCTGGAGCAACCCACTATTCAGGGGCAAGTGCGGGAGGCACTCTACGGGCAACTACCACATACACCCGGCAATCCAGTGGCGGAGCTGTCGTGCCAAAGTACGGCTGGAATCCCACATGTCAGAGGCAGTGCTTCCAAACCTTGTGCCCCTCAGCATACATAGGTTGACGTGGCCCCTCCTGCTCCCGAGATCCCCCCCTCGAACACCCGTGACAACCCCAAAGCCTACAGTCGGGGCGTTGAGGAAGGAACCCTTTTCGTTGGGGAGGGGCTCGATGTTCCTTAGTTGGTTTGCAGTTCGCCTTTGGTTTCGCTTAGGGCTTCGATGGGACATCGAAGTTAAACTTATGGGAAAAAGAGGCCGCGTTCCTTATTTAGGGTTCCTTATAAGGTCAACGCCCCGATCTGTACCAGAAACGTCCGACCGTTTACGGCGAGAGTGTCGTCGCCTTTGCAGCCCGCTGCAGCACGGCAGGCGTACGCTCGTGCCGCGTCGGCGCGGCGCGGCCCCAGGGCGGGCGCTCCAGGTCGAACGCTGCCGGCGGCCCAGAGTTGGCCGATGCCGAGGGGCCCACGCGATGGGAAGGCAGCGATGGGTCAAGTTCGAACGGTCCATGCAGCGTCATCGCCTTCGTTTTCCTTGAGATCATTCGGGGGTGGACAGACCTCCTACCCTGACACGTCGATTAAGGAATTGGCCGTTTTCGGTTCGCGAGAGGGCGTCGCGGCCGTCATTTTTGCGGGTTCTGGCCCGTCGGTTTCGGTCCCAGGCCGTTTTCACCAAGGGAAGGTCTATTCAAGGGAGGTTTGTCCACCGCCGAATCATCGGGCGGGGACGGTTTGGGGGTGGGATTGCCTTCCGACGCCCCTCTTTTCGGGTACGCTGTGGCACCGTTCCTCTCGCGTCGTCGCAAGTGTTGTCGTGGTGCAGGGAAGAAGAAAACAGCGCCCAGGTCGTCAGGGCCCTGCCGTAACCTTTTCTCGGTGCAGTCGCTGCCTGGGGAGCCGGGGGGGGGGGCTCGATGCCAGGGCTCAAGCTGACTTGTTATTGGGCGAGTTCGTGCGCTGGTTCTTTACTTTGAGTTCGTTTTGTAGCGAAGGCTGAGAGAGGAATCCTCGTGAGGGTGTGCCGTAATCGCCCGAGGCCGCCATGCGAAATTTGTCGCTGGAGCCTTTGATGGAGCTCCCTGTGGCTGCCATTGGGGCCTTCAGTGGAGCTCCCTATGGGGTCACGATCCTCGTGAGTGATGTGCCGAGATCGCGCCAGGCCGCCATGCGAACCCTGCCATTGTGGCCTTCGGCGGAGCTCCCTATGGGGCCACGACCCTTGTGAGTGAGGAATGCGCCGGAGGGCAGAGGCAAGGATGGGAAGAGTGGGAGGAGGAGAGGAGGAGGAGGAGGAGGAGGGGGAGGAGGAGGAGAAGGAGGAACGCAGGCCGCCGTCCTTTCAAAACGGGGACCTTACACCACAGGCTGGTTGGGAACAGCACCCAGACAGAAACCACGTCTTGGGGTGAGCCCTGCTCGGTGCATTCCGCCAGCGCCGCGAGCGCGGCAGGCGGCTGCACAGGTCGGCGGGGTCCTCCTCGCTCTGGGACGGCTCGGAGGAGCCGCCGGCGCCCGCGCTCTAGCTGCAGGGAGGAGCCACCGTGAAGTCTGCAGCGCACTGTGCGCCCCAGTGGCGGCAGGGAGAGCCGGCGGCGCGCCAGAGGGGGCGGGGGCGAGCCCGTGCGGCCAGCACAGAAGGCAGAGGCTTTAAGCGGTGGCGAGGCGTCCGGGCTTGCCCAGATGGCCACCGGAGAGTCTTCCAGGGGCCTCGTTGTGATCTGCAGGAGGTGTTCTCAGAGCCCTTCTGGCGGGGGCCGTCGGGACTTCCTGCATCAACGCTGTGTCTTGTTGTGAGATCCTAATCTTTTGTTCCAAGGGCACGTCGCGGTAGGCCTGCAAGAATGCCAGGACGGCCGGTCCGTGCTCGAGAGTCCGGGCGGCCAATTGAGAAGGCAGAGGGACAAGCAGTCGAGAGGCCTTTTAGAATGTTCGGAGAACCTGTTATGGTTTGTTCAACACAATCGTAGAACATGTCTGGTAGAGACCGCCTCGACCTCGCCCATCAGCTTCATCTTCTAAGAACCGTGGGTTTGTCATGAGAGCAATATGTTTGTTCTAAGGAAACGTCGTGGTAGGCCTATACGAATGCCGGGGCGGTCGGTCCCTGCTCAAAAGCCCAGGAGGGCGGCCGAATGAGAAAGCAGAGGTTCAAGCAGCTGCGTGGCGTCCGGGCTTGCTTATAGGCCCACCAGAGGATGCCTTAAGGTCTTGTTGAAGCTTGTAGTACATATGATTAGAACATGTCTGGCTGAGACCGTCTTGACTTTACATCGGATCGATGTTCTAAGACCAGTGGTTCCAGGAACATGCCGTGGTAGGTCTGTAGGCATGCTGGGACGGACGGTCCCTGCTCAAGAGCCTGGGCGGCCAACTGAGAAGGCAGATGGGGGCTTCCTCAGAAGGGCTCGGCCCGAGGGGAAAGGTCCTGAGAAGGGCAGAAGGGCTCGCGGGGCTTCTGCGAGGGTTTCTAGGCCGGGAGGGCCTCTGGGAAGCCCCCCCCCGCGCCTCCGGCGCCTCCTCAGAAGGCCGTCCTCCAGAGGGGGGGTAGATGTTGATACTGGTACGAGGGACGGCTCGTCGTCACGGCTGGATCTGCCTGGAATTCTTGGTCAGACCGCACCCCAGGAGAGGTCCGGGGAGCAGCGTTTCCGGTGCAGCTTACACATGTAAGGCATCGGCCCGCCAGCAGGTGCCCCCTGGAAACGCCTCTTCCCCCCTATGGCCCCGGCGGCCCACAAAAGTTGTGTGTCCTCTGCGGGCCCTCGATCGACCGAGGACGTGCCCCAAGATTTCTCAGATGAGGAGGAGGAGGCAAGAGGAGCAGCACGAGGAGAAGGAGGACGGTGATGAGGAGGACGAGAATTCTTCACGCTTCGCGTATCCCCACCAGCCCATCTCAAAACAGCAACTCTTGCGAAGCATGCCGACAGTCGTGTTTTTCAGGCGTGTTTCCGCCTGCCCCCGCATATCTCCGGGCCTCTCGTCCTGGTGTGAGTCGTGCGGGGCCTTCTTCCTGGTGTGAGTCGTTCGGGCTCTTCGTCGTGGTTTGAGTCGTTCGGGCTCTTCGTCCTGGCGTGAGTCGTTCGGGCTTCTCGTGGTGTGAGTTGTTCGGGCCCTTCGTCCTGGTGTGAGTCGTTCGGGCTCCTCCTCCTGGTGTGAGTCGTTCGGGCTCCTCGTGGTGTGAGTCGTTTGGGGCCCTCGTCCTGCTGTGAGTCGTTCGGGCTCCTCGTGGTGTGAGTCGTTCGGGCGCCTCGTCCTGGTGTGAGTCGTTCGGGCGTGGAGTCGAAGTCGTAGTAGTAGTAGTAGTCGTAGGAGTAGAAGTAGAAGTAGATGTCTTTTGGTCGGAGGCCTCTGAGGGCGTCTTCGGCGCCTCTTGGGGCCTCTTGGAGACATCTTGGGGGCATCTCCTCGTGGGGCCTCTTGGGGGCCTCTTGGAGCCTCTTGGGGCCTCTTGGGGGTCTCTTGGGGGCCTCTTGGGGGCCTCTTGGGGGCCTCGTGGGGCCTCTGGGGGCCTCTTGGGGGCCTCTTGGGGGCCTCTTGGGGGCCTCTTGGGGCCTCTTGGGGGCCTCTTGGGGGCCTCTTGGAGGCCTCTTGGGAGGCTCCTGGGGGCCTCTTGGGGCCATCTGGGGGCCTCTTGCGACCTCCTCAGAAGCGCAAAGGAGCGCTGCCCCCTGAGAAGGACAAAA